CGGCCCCGAACCCCGTGTTTTCTCACTTGGACCGGTGGGAGAGTGGAGCGGTTGCGTGAAATGCACCGCCGCGGAAAATGCCCTTGGAGATCGCAACTTTGGCAACGCCGCGGAGCCGTCTCGTTACGCCCTAGGGATAAGTCTGATACATGAAATTGTAGCATTTTGGATGTACTTTCATTTGGACGTATACACTTACCTTCTAAAATTGCTGGAAAAAAAATTACAAGCAAAAAACCTTAAAAAAGTGAAATTTTGAACATTTTGGGATTTTTTTTGGCAACCTTTTAGTAGGCATATTTTTCATCAGAAAAATTTCGGACCGGGTGGAAAATGTCCGTAATTTTATCTACTTTCAGATAAGTCCTTACGTACTTACTCAAAAAAACCAGCGATTTTAGCGATATTAGCCGAAAAACGAGAGAAAATCGCCGATTTTTGGCCGTTTTTTGCGATTTTGGGGGTTTTGGGGGGGTTCCCATAATTTTTCCATGTCGCAAATTTGGATTCTCGTTAAGGACCCTCTATGGATGAGAAATCAGGTGAGAAAAAAAGTTCCGCTCTTAAAACCGCATAAAGGCCCCATATGACTGGACTATTAGCATTTTAGGCCACGCCCGCCATCTTGAATTTTCGAATTTTGGAAATTCGACTGAAAATTCGAGTTCCCCATTAAAAATACCATGAGACATCAAATTTCACTTACTTTGGTGGCATCATGAAAAAAAATTGATCTGCCTATGTTTCTCAGATTATGACAATTAGAACAGCTGAGGACACCTGATTAGACGCTTATTTGAATTCACCCATGTATCTACATGATTTATACCCCTAAGGTGTATGGTAAATCCACTGATTGCGCTACATCAGCAAACATCATACCTAGCATCCCCAATGATAAAAGGTTATTTGAATTTATTTAACACTCAGTTATACAGCATCTATTCGGTTTCAGGTATCAAAGTGTGGTCCGATTGCAAGAGTTAGATCCTGTCAGCTTGCAGCGCCTTAACAGTATTCAGTCAAGTTGTTACTATGTGGAAAGTCAGTTGAAGCAAACAAATTCTCAGTTAGACAGTTTGTGGATCGATGTGCAAAATTCTTTGGCTAAAGACAAGTAAGCCTTTCCCCCCCTCCCTTTTCTAAATGAAACAGTGAATTTTTATTTATTTTGCAAGAGTCTGAATGACAGTATCAGGAAAAAATTTCAAGGAAAATGATTAACACTCTTTTTCTGTCAATATCATCTGCGCCATTTGACTAGTGAAGAGTCGTCGCAATGTTCCAGCTGAATTTGTTGATGTTCACCCATGTTGGTGAATAACTTAATATGTGCTACTTTACATAGTTCAAATTCAGAAAAGGCGCCTCTTTTGAATAAATTATATTTTCTAGGAAACTGGTAAGTGACGGAAATCGAGTGAGGTCATTTCTGGCTTTAGAAGCAAAAGCAGAAGAATCAAGCCCCATGAAGCAGGGCCAGATTTAGTTTTATGCCGCCCCTGGGTTGGCCATATTTTGCCCCTGTATTGTTAAGAGTAGTCCCCCAAGGGGGAGGGGGGAGCTTATTTTTGAGTTATGAGAAATTTCATAAAACTGGGTGTTTAATGTGTGTTATGGAGTAAAAGAAAACACCATTATGAAGGATTTAAAAAAAAAAAAAAAAAAAATTACCGGTGCCTTGCTCCAGTGAAGGGCGCTAGTCCAAATTGGATCATAGAAGGACTACACCATGTCATTTCTATAGAAATTTTAGAGTAATGAGTTCTTAGGGCAAAAATTTTTTCCATTTTGACGTATCTCAAAGGAGAAAGCCTTGAGAGGTCACTTTAAGACACCCAAAGCCACCCCTCAGAGCAGAGGTCCTGCGGTGAGCAGCATCCGGCACCAGGGTGCGCACAGTAGATGGGTACAGTACAGTAGAGGGTTTCTGTAGATTTCGAAGAGCTGCGGATCTTTGGACGAAAATTTCAAGGATTTTGACGTATTTACAACCGTCAACATGCCAGAGGCTGTATAAAGGCTTGCATGCAATACGCACATGTTGCGGCGAGTACTTCAATTCATAATGCGGGTCGTCGCACAGTGCGTTGAATGGTGTTAAAAATCTCCCTCGAAATGTAAGTCGAAATTTTCCAAAAATTATGTGGTGAACGTTAAGTGGTATATCCGGCAACACTATTGTCAGTGATAGTATTAATTTTTATCGATACCTAGTGCCTGCTCAGGTGGTCGTTATCAGCCAGTTCTGAGCTCCTGATCTGAATCCAATTGCCGATGACAACAATGAGGAGCATATTGACAGGCTTCAGTGCCATTCTATTATTCCTGGCAGCTTCATTCCTACTGGTAAACACTATTTATTTTTGGTTTTTTCAATTTTTAAATCCTTTTTTGGTGGCGAATATTGCACTTTGAAATACTGCTCATTTTTAACCCTTTTTCCTACTTCCATGGAGTGGCAAAAAAAAACTGTTGACAACTATTGAACTTTCGTGCACATGGATTTATTCAGTGGTATGTGTACTCTCAGAAAATCAACGGTTCATCTGCTCAATGTTGCCTGTTGGACGGAAATCATGATTTTCTAGGAAAATTTTGCCATTTTTCAGGTGTTTTTGGGCTTTTATTCGACTTGGATTCAGAGTTCACAAATTAACCTCAAATTTTCAAGACATTATGCAAAGACGCAAATAGATAACACTTTAAATGAAGTAAACAAATGGTAAAATTCATTTTTAAGTATTACATGATGCCAGCTCGCTCTTAAAAACAGGACATTTTTTTCATATTTGTATCCACGTAATATGTATGCATTTATATGAACTTATTCCGATTACATGAACCTAGTTTCCAAAAAATGTTGATATGAATTTGTTAAATGGCATGTAAAAAGAGAAAATTTGAAATTGAAGCAACTCCAGTGTTGCTCAATTTCATAAAAACTTCCATTTTCGCAACGCTCGTTTTTACGTTCTTTTATAGTTTCATGAAGTGGCAAAAAAACTATTGACAACTCTTGAACTTTTGTGCACGCGAATATATTCAGTGGTATGTTTACTTTCAGATAATAAACGGTTCATCTGCCAGATGTTGCCCTTTCGGATGGAAAAAGTGGTTTTCTAGGAAAATTTGGCCATTTTTCAGGTGTGTTTTGCTTTTATTCGACTTCGATTCAGGGTTCACAAATTCACTTCCAATTTTCAAGACACTTTGCGCAAACACAAGTAGATAATTCGTAAAATAATGTATAGAAATGGTAAAATTCATTTTTAAGTATCATATGATGCCAGCTCGCTCTAAAAAATAGCACATTTCTTCAGTATTTGCATCCACGTATATGTAAGTATATAAACCCCAAAAAACTTTCAGATTTAAAGGGGTAAAGAATCCGGCCAAAGTCTTAAACTTACTGAGAAAAATTGTCTTGTTAGGTACTTCTCAAAGGAAATGATAAATTATACTTCACTGTACATCGAATGTAGACCCCTTCATTTATTAAGAATGCAACAGTCATGATGTGTAAGTATGTTTAGCCCCTCTAGGAGGGCTCTGCTTCCTTACCTATTTGCATTTTTATCAAAAGTAAATAAATAGTCGATATGGATTGAGATGAGCCTTCTATGTGCTCCAAAACAATATGAAACAGTTTATCGCACGAAGTCCAATATTTTCCGATTCAGGTCCTACAAATGCTTTTAAAACAGCATGACAAAAATACTCAATCGGCTGGCTGAAGTCCAGTATTTCTCTTGAGAATAGTCTCCTCCTTGAATGAGTGATGCAACAATTGCGACATTTGTGTATAAAAAGCCCTTGCAGAAGCCTTTTTATTTGACTTTGCTAAATTTTGTAGAATCACTGACGTGTCCGCCAAATTGCGTAAAAAAAGTAGGTCACTGAAATTAATGCTTCATATAGATATCTGAGGATCCATGTCAAAACCCTCTTACCTATCCTACTCTAAGTATAAATTAAGAACGCTATTTTCAACCATGAATTTCATTTTTTCTTTAAATCTTCATTAATTTTCCTTTAAAACAATTCGCAATATCCAGGTAATCTGGAGTCATTTTCATGACGATCAGTTCATTATGCAGTGGTATATGATACAGTGTTATGATAGCTTCCATTTACATGCATATTAAACTGCAGCATCGTAAGTTGAGAATATCAAAGATATTATACAATAAATAAGTTTTGGAAGAAAGCAAGAAGAATGATACGCTCGAAAAGTACGCTGCAAGCAATCTTCCAGCAATCTTCCAGCATGCAGAGGGGACAAATTCTAATGATTACAGTAAGGGCAATTTGGCGGGCACGTCAGTGATTCTACAAAATTTAGCTGAGTCAAATAAAAAGGCTTCTGCAAGGGCTTTTTATACACAAATGTCGCAATTGTTGCATCACTCATTCAAGGAGGAGACGATTCTCAAGAGAAATACTGGACTTCAGCCAGCCGATTGAGTATTTTTGTCATGCTGTTTTAAAAGCATTTGTAGGACCTGAATCGGAAAATATTGGACTTCGTGCGATAAACTGTTTCGTATTGTTTTGGAGCACATAGAGGGCTCACATCAATCCATATCGACTATTTATTTACTTTTGATAAAAATGCAAATAGGTAAGGAAGCAGAGCCCTCCTAGAGGGGCTAAAAATACTTACACGTCATGACTGTTGCATTCTTAATAAATGAAGGGGCCTACATTCGATGTACAGTGAAGTATAATTTATCATTTCCTTTGAGAAGTACCTAACAAGACAATTTTTCTCAGTAAGTTTAAGACTTTGGCCGTATACTTTACCCCTTTAAATCTGAAAGTTTTTTGGGGTTTTTGCAGTTTATATCAGGTGGTTTTTGGAATGAAGTGAAGCTAATGAAACATTTGGCTGGAGACAGAGAAACTGAGAATAATATTTTCAATGAGCAGAACTGGGACTCCATATTTGATCAACTAAACATTAATAGGGGGTGATTGAGTTTCCGATCAATAAAAGTTACCTAATGTTTTGGTTAGTTTAAACTTCCCTCATCAAAATAGGGTACATAATGTTTTAAAAACTGATTGATTAGCAATTAATTGTCATAGTGTAGGCTATTTAGAATGAACTTCTTTTGCCGCATAAATTATCCCTTACTCATACAGTTTCAACATTAATTCTGCAATTTTTACTGCGTTTAACTCAACTGTTGGACATACTTACATTCAGCCACTAAAATTTTAAATTACTTAAATAACAGTGAGACCACTAAGTGGAAAGTCCATTCAAAGAGTTAAAATTATTTTTTTTGTTCACTCATTATATAGAGTATTTCCTGTAAGAGGTACTTAATTTACCAATAAAAGTGTGCGTCAAGCCAAGCTCCATCGGCCACAAAAGTATTTTTTCTTTTAACAGAGTAGAACGTCTAAGAATGTGACTTGAAACATGAAGATAAGAAAATTGTATATATATTATACACTCTGTTGAACTTCAGGCAATACCGTATACCTATATTGGCGCTAGCTGAGAATATTTTGATTTATTTTGCTTCGAGTCGCTTCACCACAAAATATGTCGAATCTTAAAATTGGCATGAAGTAAACTTTTAATTTGTAATGGAGTCATTTGATTCATAAAAGATATTGAAGGCTACCTCTCAGTTACCTGGTAGTTCAAGAATTCCTGGTAATTTGGTTGTCCACCGTCGGACTAAAGACACCACCCCCAAACTCTTCATCAGAGCATGTTCCCCAGTTGGTACCGAAGCACAAACTTTTTGATCATAAACCGAAAAGCTACCGATTGGTCTCATCTTTTTTGGCCTTGATTCACCCGATTATATTTATTCCACTAAGAACTAGGTAGGCACGCAAACCACACATAGACCCAACGCTCAATGAATTTCCGAATGCACTGTTTCACTGGAGTAATTATGCTAGAAATTAAGCCTGGAAAGTACTCACTTGGTGAAGATGGAATACTTCAGTGACACATCGACCAACAACACCACAATACGAGGGGGGGACCCAAAAAAACCGGAATTTCGCTGTAACTTGGCAACAATGGAAAATATTCGGGTTCCACCACTAGGAGGTGTAACTAGGAGCTATGATGAGTAACTAGGCCAAATT